TTTAAGTGTCTCACAAACGCACATGGCCCGCCTGGATCTCCGGTGCAGAGTCGACGCGAGGATGAGGAGAACGAATTAACGAGTTTTCTAAGTGCCCCACAGTACGATAGAGCATACACATAGATTTATACGTATATATAAATTAGTGCGAAATTGTATGCGAGCGAATACGAGTGTGTGTATGAGAGAAACCGTGTTGATCTATCGATCCTCTTAAGGCATGATCGCGATATTTCACGTCAGAATCTTGCGTCTCATTCCCTTGAACGAAGCGAGAGCGATGTATAATATACTGACACGCTAATTATGCCGACGTAAAATTTCATCTGGAGATAAGGTTTAAACGAATATAAATAAAACAAAAACGCAATAAATCACACGCAGCTAAGCTTGCGTATCGCAACACGTCTCGATCGATTCTTGCCTTCCTTTAATCGCAATTTTCAAATGACACGTGTATAAATTATAATAATGATCGTGATTATTTTATACAATAATTGCAATCGCTGCTTAAACCTATCCTCTATCTATTTAGATTTAATTACAAAGATAAAAACACACTCTATGATCCCTTTTTTTTTATAAAACTGGAGAGGACAAGAGAATATCTCGAAATTGAAAATAGAAATAGAAATGAAACTGTATTTTACAGAAATCATCGTATATTTGTTTCTGATGACAAATTTCAATAATATTGTACATCTCATGCACAATCATTCACTAGCACTAGTTAAATTATGCAGAACTACCTCCGTTCCCTACACAAGAGCCTATACAGTTTGTGTTAAATTACATAAACGGTGATCAACGAAGTACCTGATTTTTATGATGCCTCCCCTCAACCGCGAAGATAGCGTCGAGTGCACGGCACACATTTTAGAAGAATCATGTGCTTTTTTTTCTCCGCACTCGAAATCTAATTGAATCGTACGTGGAGAATGTCGGTTTGTATTTTATAAGCGTAAATATTCTCGGCAAAAAGACCTCGCTCATAATTCTAAAACGAGCATACAGAGCTAATTGTAATAATGTCAATACGAGCGATCGTTATATTACTCTCGACATGAAACAGTACGATAAATCTACTGCTCCTAACTATACTCTCTTATATTTTTCCGGTTTACTAGGGGTGCATTCGGGGAGACACTATTAGTGTTATTTGTGTCATTCTATCTTCATTGTTTATTAGACGTAAAACAAAGATAGATGATTGCGCGCTCCTCAAATGCAGCCTAGAAGTACACACTCTATACATATACTCTCACTTTGACAGGTTTCGATAAAAGCAAAAAGAAACGACGATTCGCAAATAATAGCGCGGAAGATTTACAAAAGGAATAAATCTAATTATAATTACTCTGTTCATTACATAAGTAGTACACATATATGTATATAAAAAATATATACATATATGTATATTTAAAAAAATATATGTATATATGTATATATATTACTAGAAACGCACGATTGGCGATATATTTTCGAACATATACATGTATATAAATCAGGACGAGATTGCCTTGGCGAGGTCAAGCCTAAAAGAGAACGTATTTTATGATCATTCCAAGACCAATTGCATCGGTTAGCCTTAACTAAACTAAAATCCTTTCCTTTATATTACAAGTAGAATATATAATCTAAGAATGGCAGCAAATCGCTAAAAAAATATATATATAATATAAATCGACGATCTAATACCCTAAATTAAATTAGAACTTCTTTAATTATTTTAAATCTGATAAATTTTCACTGTTTAAAGTTTTTCAAAAGTTTCTTTTTCTATCTTGAATTATTTAAGAGAAAGTAAAACTACGATTTGACATAATAAATCACGACGGTGAAACTTTCGTGACGCATTCCTTAATCGTAAAATCAAACTCCGGCGCGGTAACACTTTGACGTCAACTTACGCTACTTAAGCTTGTATATCTCATCATTGTGTGATCTGTACAAAGTAATTTTACGTGGATCAGAATCTTGATCTGTTCAGAACGATATACCCCGGTTTGTACATCCGCAAAAGTACGCTCAATCACGTCGCCGCCAGGTAAACTTTGCCCTCTGACTCGTAACTTCTGCTGCCGGAGCGGAAGTGGCTGGATGGGAATACAGACATGACGGTTTCGTGCAGAATGGATGATACTTGCACTGCTGGGCGGGATGCGAGAATACGCAGCCTAGCTTTGTGCAAGACAAACCGAATTTGCACTTGGGATGCTTGTAGGCGCATTTGTCACCAAACTTACATGCCGGGAAGGCACTGCGAAAAAAATAAAACGACTTAATAAAAATTAAAAGAATGAACCTTTTTCTGGCATCATATAATCATAGAAAGAAAAATATTTTTTGTATTTTACGATGAAATCATTGGTAAGAATTTTTTTTCAAAATTTTTCATATAATTTTTTAGAATTTCTAAATAATTTTATAACTTTTTACAAAATTTCTCAGATTTTTTATACAATATTGAAACATTTTTCAAAAGCGATATCAATAAAATTTATATATCTTTTCTAGAATTCTTCATATATGTAAATTCTGAAATATTCTAAGATTTTTCATTCTACCATTTCTAATGAAATCTTTTATAAAATCTGAGAAAAAATTTGAAGTATTTTTTCAGAAATTGTAGAATGAGAAATCTTAAAATATTTCACTTATATGAAAGATTCTAAAATATAAACTTTCTCATAATCCATATGAACGAAGAAATCCGAGAAAAATATATGTCATCAGAGATATAATGAATCTCTAGAAGATACATTACCTGCACATAACGGGGGGATGAAGATACGCGCATTTGTTCCCTAATGTACAATTTGGCCAATATCGACAATTCTCCCTGGATTTGTCTGAAATGGCCGAGGCCGTAGTCTCTACCGATTTTTTATCTGGAGCTAAAAAGAGTACCGTACATTTTACACCGATATACTTTTATGCTCTAAACAAACCCAAAAAAAGAAATTTGCTTACGTTTGGTGGCTAACGTCGACGCGTTAGATTTCAGTTGTATGGGACTAGGAGAATGAGATCTATTGTATATTATAGGGCTTAATTTTCTCCGTCTACGGGGCATTTCGTCAATCTTATCTACGTTCTCCGTATTGCAGTTCTCGTTGTTCTCTTCTCCACTCGCTTCCTTTGGACTAGTGTGCGCGTTATCTTCCGCTGAGCTCGTTATTCTAAACTTATTTATTTCCAACTCGTCCTGCGCCATTGCCGCCATCGTCGTTGTCGTTGCTTCATTGTGCGTCGTCAACAGTGCAAGCTCGTCATCCTCGTTCACCTGCGAGCATGAGGAGGAACATCGTGCGTCTAGAATACGCGTGAGGATTAAAATTCAGAGGGAGGGAATGAGGGAAATGCTTTAGAGGTGATGGAAGACTTACCTCCATTTCCAGTCGCTCTTCGTCATCCTCGGAGCTAATCTTCTCTTTCAT